TGAGGCTTTCTGCTCCCGTAAAGATTTACAGCCTCGGAAACCCTGTGCAGGGTCGCTATGAGTTGGAACCGACTCCACGGCACTTAACAACAACAACAAAGATAGGTTTATCAAAATTCCTTCTAATTAAAAAGATCCTTGACTCTTTGGATCATCTTAGACAATAAAAAGGAATTACATACATACAAAAGATCCAGTCTTGCTTTTGTATTGGACCAAGTGAAGTTATTTTGCACAGTGATTAAAATGTTTAAAACTTTATGAATCCTTTAGGTAAGGGATAAGCACACATTTAAACTATTAAAATAGGTAGAACACTATTACCTAAAAGGAATTAACAATCCTGGTTAATATTAAGTGAGATAATTGTTTAAAATTTAAAGAGTTGTTGCTGTTAGCTACCATTGAATAATCGGTATCTACTCATAGCGACCCAACGTACAACAGAACAAAATACCACCTGGTCCTGGGCCAACCTCACAATCGCTGCTACACCTGAGCCCATTGCTGCCACCACTGTGCAAATCCATCTCGCTGGGGGTCTTCCTTTTTTTCTCCAACCCTCCACTTTACCAAACATGATATCCTTCTCCAGTGACTGGTCACTCCTGACAATATGTCCAAAGTATGAGAGATGAAGTCTGGTCATCCTGGCTTCCAAGGCATTCTGGCTGTACTTCATCCAACACAGATCTATTTGTTCTTTTGGCAGTCCATGGAACTTCCAATATTCTCTTCCAACAGTGTAACTCAGATGCATCAATTCTTCTACAGTCTTCCTTATTCACTGTCCACCTTTTGCTTGCATATGAGGTTATTGAAAATACCATGGCTTAAGTCAGACGCAGCTCAGTCCTCAAACTGACATCTTTGCTCTTCAACACTTGAAAGAGTCCATATGTACAGCAGATTGCCCAGTGCAAAATTAAAAGATGGTTAACAACAAGTTTCCTCTCAAAAACTTTCCCAAAGCTTTATAAATATTTAACTATTAACTAGTAGGCATAACGAGAAATACTGATATATCCGTTCAAAAATGCTGCATCTCTCAATACAATTCTCAAAGTAACATGTTAGACCATAATTCATTTGATATAAATTTATTGAGTACCTAATATAAAATATTGCATTGCAAAAAGACCTTTTGACATCAGAAATGTAATATACATTTTGTGCCTGAGACTCAATCACATCTAACACATTCAACATAAAGTGTAAAATCCTGAGCAATCAGAACAATTATACCCTTGAGCAGCCTGATTTTTTTAATTCTTCTCACGATTTTCTTAAACTGATTTTTATTCAGGGAATCTTTCCCAGTTCTAAAATAAGAGTTGTTGTTGTTGTTGTTGAGTGCCGTCAAGTCGGTTCCGAATCATAGTGACCCTATATAGGGTTTCCAGGGCAGAGGAGGGGGAAAAGGATTTCTTAAATAAGAATACAGAAGAATAGAAACATAAGAAAAGGAATGAAAAAAGGAGTAATCTTGAATACTTGTTTCCATTTATTCAGTAGTGCTTTTAATGTTCAATTTTCTCTTCAAATAAAATCTTGATTTTTAAAGAACAAAAGTACAATCCTTGGCATTTAAAGACTATTGCTTAGCTTTTACTAAAGTTAGCAAAAGATTGAAACTGAGAAAAGCCATTAAAATACATCTTTATTCTAAGTTATATAATGCCATTCAACATAGTATTAAGTTGATACTTTGGTATATAACATTTAAAAGTAAATATTAACAACAGGTAGAAAATTCCCCTTTGCCGGTTTAAGAGAATCCTACAGGCAGCCTGTAACTTCAATAGCAATTTAAGGAAATTTATTATCTAAATTATGTATCTTCTAGAAGGATCATTTAATTGAAAAAAAAAGAAAAGTCGCATTGCTTCTTCCTCCCAAGAAGTGCCTATCTGTCTCTCCCCTTCTCTCTCCCGTCCCCCTTCCTCCTCTCTCTTCCTCCCATCATCTTCATTCTCTCTCTCTCTCTCTCTCTCTCTCTCTCTCTCTCTCTCTCTCTCTCTATATATATATATATATATATATATATATATATATATGCGTATATATATACATTCACCCGCATATATATACACACATGTGTGTCTGTGCATGTGTGTTATGTGCCTTGGATTTGATTCTGATGCTTTCCAAGGAGAAGTTTCTGGTGAGTTTGAACCTTGTGGTTAGCAGTCCAGTGATAATCCTCTCCATATACGTGTGTGTGTGTGTGTGTGTGTGTGTAATTTTTTAACCCACTTCCATAGACTCAATTCCAACTCACAGAGACCCCATATAGGGTTTCCAAGACTGTAAATCCTTTCAGGAACAGACAGCCCCATCTTTCTCCCAGGAGCAGCTAGTGGGTTTGATTGACTGGCGTTAAGGTTAATAACCCAATGCTTAACCAATAATGCCACCAGGGTGCATATATTAGTTAGATAGATTCTTGTTATGGAGCCCTGGCAGCTTAATGGGTTACGAGTTGGGCTACTAACAGGAAGACCAGCAGTTCAAATCTACCAGCAGCTTTGCATGAGAAGGATTAAGTCTTTCTGCTCTTGTAAAGATTTACAGCCTCGGAAACCCTATACAGAGCAGCTATGAGTCGGAACTGACTCAACAGCATACAATTACCACCATATATATGTCATATATGGGGTCCTGGTGTGGCACTGTAGGATAAGCACTGGATTACTAATCGCAAGGTCAGAAGTTCAAACTCACCAGCTGCTCCTTTAAAACTCTATACATGGTTACTGTGAGTCAGAACTGACTGTACTTAACAACAACAAAATGTCACATACACACATACAGATTCCTAGTGTGTTGCTGTACGTTCAGCACTGGGCTGTGAACTATAAGGTCCGTAATTCAAAGGCATCAACTACTTCTCAGAAACCCTATACAGACTCGACTGCACTGAACAAAAACATATATAAACAATACATCATATGGATATATGTATATGACACAAAGGTTTGATTTGAGACCTTCTTTTTACTGATTCATTATTCTCAGTGGACCCTCAACCTGTACTGCTTTTCACACTTTATTCATCTATTAAGCATTTATTCAGTACCTTCTGCATGTAAGGAAAAATACAAAAGGAATATAAGGCAGATCTCTGTCCTCTAGAATCTTGCAGTCTCTGCCAGGAGCAAGACAAAATATCATTAAGTAAGCTGTTCAGGGTCGCTATGGGTCAGAACCGACTCGACGGCACTTAACAACAACAACAAGCTATTAAAGCTAAAGCCAATGATACTGATATTATGCATGTCACATTCATATACAATTGTAGAGCTTTAAAATACTTTTATTTATTTGAACCTCAAAATAATCTGGTGAAGTATACATTATTATCCCCATTTTTAGCAAGAAAGAACCTCAGATTCAGAATTTTTAGTGGCATGCCTCAACCAAACAGATTATGAGTTTAAGTACCAAGACTCAAATCAGGGTCTTCTGATTCTAGACCTAGGACTCTTTTCACACAGTAAACCAGGGATTGGAATCCTCAAAAGGGGCAACATTCAGCCTTCTCCAAGAAGTGGATCTATACTGGACTGATAGGATGGCAGGAAAATATGAAACCACCTGGGCAATGTCCAACAAAATGTCCAAATTATTGATTTCTGCATATGTTTGGACTTTCAATTGATTCGTACTTCACTGTAATACACAGAGCACAACTACTATGTCCTTAGTGCATTTACCTCCTCAATAAGAGCTCTGCTCTCACAAATAGGTATGTAGACTATAATTAAGCTAGCCTAACGGGGTCATATAAATCATAAATACAAATCTTAAAGAGCTGGTTAATTCACACACATTTCATTTTCCTTTAGCACCAAAGCCTAACTCGCCCCGCCTTTCTCTAGCATTCTTGCTCCAACCACTTATTTAAGATGTTAATGATGATTGACCCTACCTCAAATTCTACACAATTCACCCCAGGTGTGCCACCTGACTCGAGCCCTTCCCAGACACCTTCCCTCCCCTCCAAACAGATATGATACCGAGTTGAGATTCTGCAGGTCCCGTCACGATGCTGTCACCAGCACTGAGAGATAAAGTATGACCTTTCGACTCCGTCCTTGGGGACCTCTCACTGGCCGTGCAGTGTAGTTCTAGGGTCTCCCAGATCGGGAACGCAGTCCCGGGCAGAGGGCGTTCCAAAGCGCCGTCTTCGACAACTAGCAAGATGCTGGGCACCCGGACGTGCACCACTCCGCCCCATACTCCTGCCAACTGCAGGGGACTCGCCCCGGCAAGTCCATCACACCCCACAGGCAAGTCCGGGTCAGCCAGACCTTACGCAGAGCTCCAATGACTGGCTGGTGGCGGAGGTAGAGGCAGCAAAAGCCAAAGCCACCCGCCCCCGGTGCCCATCGCCGCCAACCTAGGACCCCCTCCCCAGGCTGGACCGCAGCGAAGCGTTTCTATGGGAACCCCTTAGGGATCACGTGATAGTCTCGAGCGCCCAATCGCCTCTCCCTTCTACCCTTGGTACTGTTTTCAGCCCTGCCTCTTATCCCGCCCCCGCCAGCTTCTCCTGGCCACGCCCCTTTTCTGCAGCGCTTCTGCGCCTGCGCACTGGGTCCTGCGCGCGCTCCCTGTGGGGTAGCGGGGGCGGTGTAGGAGGCTGGAGAAGTGCGTGAGCCTGAGGAGGAAGGAGCGGGGCCAGCGCGCAGGCCCAGAACCTCCCGAGCCTCTGCTGCCGGCTACGCCCCAGAGCGGAAGAGGGAAGTGGAGGCGCCAGCCTGTGGGTTCCCGCTGGGCTAAGGTTGCTTTAGTAGAGGTAGCACGGAGAGGAGACCTTTGCCACCGCTCGGGATCCGGGATGTCGAAGAACACGGTGTCGTCGGCCCGGTTCCGGAAGGTGGACGTGGATGAGTACGACGAGAACAAGTTCGTGGACGAGGAGGATGGAGGCGACGGCCAGGCCGGGCCCGATGAGGGCGAGGTGGACTCCTGCCTGCGACAATATCCTTAACGTTCTCACCTCCCCACTGGCTTCTCCCCGGACCCTGCAGCCATGCAGGGTCTTAGGACCGCGGGCACTGAGCTGCCGCCCGGCGGAACCTGCCTCCTGGGGTCCCCTATCCCTAGTGGGAGAGGTTCTCCCCGTTCTAACCGAGCTGCTTCAAGACCCCAGGGGCCCACTCTTGGCCCCTTGCCCTGGGCGCCGTGGCCCCGAAGTCCTCAGGTTGCTCGCGGAGCTGCCGCCCCCGGAACTGGCTCCGCCGGCCGCGCCCGCACGGTCCAGGGCGGCAGACGGTGCTGTCAGCGCCGCGGGGAGAAGTGTCCCGCCCCACAACGGTATTTACTGGGGTCGCACCGGCCAGAAATTTCTGGTTCCAGGCCATCTCTTTTTAGAGGTTTGGTTGGAGAGAACGGTTGTTGTTGGCAGGGGCTTCTTGTTTTGTTTGTGTGTTTCTGGTAACGTTTGGCTAGTTTATTACTTGCAGGAGGATTGGGGTTGTTCGCAGAATTGAAGCCCTGTGACTTTTCAGTCCGTTGAGCTTCTTTCTTTCCTTTTATTTAGCAGAATAGCGGTTGCACAGACTTTGTTAATTAGGGGAGGGAAATGAGTGTGAGTACAAAACTTCGAAACGTTCTGTACTTTTTTTACCTGCTAAGAAAAGACAATAGAAAGAGAACAGTGCATATGAAGAACCCCAGGGAATATCTCAAATAAGCCCAGTGAGTGAAATAGAAGAAGATGGTTCGTTTGTATAAAGCAGAATCGATTTTGTAATCCTGAAATTGTTTCTATTTTAGTTAAAATGTAGCTGTCATTTCCTGGTTTTTATTTTTGCATTTTGAATATTCATAACTTGTCATTAGCATTTTCATCAGATCTTTTTAGAACAATGTAGATGGTGCAATAACCCAAGCTGTAGTTTTGAAGATTCCCAATGATTGAACTGTATGCTTTTCTACACTCTTTCCTCACCAGTGTCCCATTAAATGGTATTGGGGAAAATATTTGGTAGTAACATATATCCATTATTGGGAGTACTGGTATGGTGCTGTAGGATAAGCTCTGGATAAGCTCTGGACTACTAGCCACAAGATCAGCATTTCAAACCACCTGGCCCTACTCGCAAACCTTATACAGGTTTGCTATGAGTCAAACTAAAGGGACAGCAGCACTTAACTACTACAACATATCCATTATTCAAGGGTCCTAAAATGCAGCATTAAACGCTTATCAGCATACAAATGTTCCTTTGATTTCCCAGACTTTCAGTCATTACTATTTGCATTATTTAAATGTTTGTTGTTAAGTGTTGTATCTTTTTAAAGAAGCCTGCAAAAAGGTGTGTTGCTCTAGAAGTTCTTGCAGCTCTGAAAAGACAGCGGCAGAACACCACCAACCATAGATTAGTCTGGCTTTTCTGAAGAGAAGTGGTGAACTTTACTCTTTTTTCAAAACATGTTTTGTGATGCATAAATGTCATGTAAGACTAACATGTTTTCAGTGATTTGTAATGACTTAAATGGTACTGCTATACCCATATCATTGGGGCCTGCTTTAGAATCAGTTGGTCTTAAAACATAAGAGAGATTGTCTATCTACTTATCTTACAACCTAGGAAGACAGTCCTTCTTGCAGAGATGGAGGAAGCAAGTGAACTCTGTGGTTTTCCTTTTAGGGGAATGTCTGTATATTCTGACGGTCTGATTGGCCTGCTATTTCTCATATTTGCTTACTCACTGGTGCTTTCAAAAAGAGACTATCTGATAGATAAGGTCTAAGACAGTTTGAATTAACCTTTATGAAATCTGGAAGAAAATACACAATTTAAGCCACCACTTAAGAGTTACATGAATGCTTTCACTTTGTTATAATGCCTTTCTTTATCAATATTGAGAGATTGCTAATGTCTGTAATTCAGATTTCCAGAGTAATTTACCAGCATTGCAATTAATACAGACTACAAACACACACATACAAAAACCACAAAAATTCTGACTCAGTGCTACCCTGTATAGGATTTCTGAGACTGTAACTCTTTACTGGATCAGATAGCCTCAGCTTTCTCCTGTGAAGCGACTGGTGGGTTTAAACTACTGTCGTTGTGGTTAACAGTTCGGTGCTTATCCTGCAGCACCACCTGATTTGTTTGCTGTTTTTTTTTATTGTTGTTTTTTTACAAACAGCTAGAATCACACAAAATAAAATGATATATTTTGGTTGATGATAGTCTCTTTCATTTGAATATATATTTTGAAATGAGCCTTGTTAGCCCAGGGTTAAGTGCTCAGCTGCTAACTGAAAGGTCGACAGTTTGAACCCACCAGCTGCTATTTTAGATTTTCTGTAGTACCACTCTTGTATAATGTTTGCATATGTATGTCTCACTGGAAAATGAAAAGTTATCAAGGTGTTTGTTTGATAATTAAGAACCAAAAAAAAATACGGTGACTGTGTAGGACCGAGTGGAACTGCCCCAGAGGGCTTCTGAGGCTGTAAATGCTTACGGAAACAACCACCACATCTTTTTCCATTGGTGTCTTGGGAGTGTCTGAACTATCAACCTTTTGGTTAGCAGCAGAGTGCTTAACCACTGCGACACCATATATTCATGATAACTTTAAGCCCAAAGGTGAAATAGTCTTTGCTTTGTCCAAAAAAAAGTCTAATGTTCTTTTTCAGGAGAAAGATGAGACTTTCTGCTCCAGTAGAGATTTATTGTTATTAAGAGCCATCTAGTCGGTTCCGACCCATAGCGAACCTGTATAGGGTTTCTGAGGAGCAGCTGGTGAGCTTGAACCACCAGCCTTATGGTTTAAACCATATTTGCAGTCCAGCTTTTGTTTTTGCTGTTGAGTGCCTTTGAGTTGGTTCTGACTCTTAGTGACCGTGTATAGGGTTTCCAAGGAGCAGCTGGTGAGTTTGAACCACTAACCTTGTGGTTCAGACCAACCTTGTAGTCCATTGCTTTATCCCACAGCACCACGCAGCACTCCCCAAAACCTTACACAAGGTAACTATGAATCAGAACCTACTCTGGGACACTTAACAGCAACAGTGTTTTACCTTTGACATATTTGAAATCAGCACACTGAATTTCCAAATTGTGTACCTTCTAGAAAAATTGTAGTGATTTACCGTTTATACATAGAACCATGTCCTTTTTAAAAGCTAATGGTTACTGAAGGTTATAAAGGTTCCCTAAGGGCTGCCCTTTTGCGGTTATTTCCTTAACCTCCCTCACAGGAAACATGGCAGCTGCTCTCCAAGCTGCTCTGAAAAACCCCCCTATCAACACCAAGAGTCAAGCGGTGAAGGTGAGTCACAGAGAGCAGTGATCCCAACCTAGACCTTCTTTCACACCACAGCCCTCAGATGGGTCCCACATTAACAAGCATTTACTCTTTGACATTAAAGAGCAGACAACTCAGTTTGAAAAGTCAAAAATTGCAAAAAAAAATAGCACCTGTGTAGAGTTATGATAATGCTGCATAGTAAACACAGTAAGTTCAAATAGTTCAAATGACAGGAATCAGCCCTGTGGGCATTTTGAGTAGAGGTCACATAGGTTGAATTTAAACAAGGGCTTCAAGAAAAAGTAAAACAAGATTTTTTTGAAAATTCAAACCCACCAGCTGTTCCTTGGAAACCCTGTACAGGGTCACTATGAGTAGTAACCAATTTGACGTACTTAACAACAATAAAAAACTAATCTCCATGGGTTACGTATTTAAACAACACCTTCATTGACAATTTTTTCCCTGTTCTTTACTGAAATTAATCAATTTTTGCAAATTGTTCATTCTTTTGTATAAAAAAATGCAATTTTGTTTTTACTTTTTGTTCATATGGCTAATTGCCCATCAGAAAAGTTGTGTAATTTATATTCCCAGTAGCAGGCTTTCACTAAATCTTTGGAACCCCACTTATTTATTTATTGTTTAAAGTGAAGCTTGCAGCATCAAGCCTTCTGTGAGACATCCTAGGAGACTTCATACATCCTAGGAGACTCCAAAATCTCCTGAATTGAAGAGTAGTAAATAATAACTTAGATAGATGAATAATAATTATCTAAGCAATGGAGGACAGTGTCTTTGGGTTCTCAAAGTTGTAGGAGATTTTGTTTAAAATTCAGTTTTACCACTTTCTGCTTTTATATGGGTGAATTTATCACAGCTTGTGGGTAGGAGGTTATAGCTTTGGAGGCAAAGATATTTTTCTAAATGGAGTAATTGCATATTCTCTAAACTGAGGCTAGCAATAGGTGGTAGAAACATTTTGTAAAATCCTGACCAGCAGGAATGTTGAAGGAATCACTTTGTCTTGAATAAAAGGAGAAACAAATTGAAGTGAAGGCAAATTAAGTGTTCCATTTGCTTAGCTTGATGGGTAAGAAAATAACTGATTTTGGAGCAACCTTTTGCCAAAGAAGAAAAGACCATTGTCGATGAGGATCACATAGCGCCTTCTATAGCCAGCTAACAGTGAAGAAAACACTTCTGAAGGTAGTTCAAGGTTGAATTCAGCTGCAAGTTGATTTCCTTGTTTTGTTGGAATTCTTAAGATCAGAAAGTAAAATATAAACACTGATTTAATAAACTATCAGTCTGATCTCTTAGCAAATTCTGTCAGTTCTGCCTTCTAGCATGTGGAGCATATGCCCTGTCTTACCACCCCCATTGCTGTTGTCCTGCTGGGCAGACCACTGTCACTTACTGCCTTTGTGATTACAGTAGCTTCCTCATTGGTCATCCCACTTCTGCCTCCCCACCCCCTCCTCATCCACAGTTGATTCTTAATCTGGGAGCCATGTGATTCAATTATAGTGTCAGATTACATCACTGCTCTTCTCAAACCCCTTCCTGGATTTTATCAGTTCTCTGGGAGTAAAAGCCATCATGATCCCTACTGTGTCCTACCAGCCTTTCAGGAGCTGGCCTCCCATTGCCTCCCTGACTTCCTCTCCTGCTACTTTCCACCACTCCGCTTCAGCCACATTGCATCTTTTTGCTATTCCTTGAGCATGTTAAACACTAATACTTATAGCACTTATTTTTTCCTGTCCTCCTAAGCCTCTTCTTTTACATCATTTAGGTGTTTACTCAAACATTACCTTAGCCTTACCTTTCTAAAATTGCAGTCTATCTCATACCTCCCAAACACATACCTAAAGGTATCTAAATGTTCTGTTGTTTGTTTACCCCTAGGATCGGGCAGGCAGCATTGTCTTGAAGGTGCTCATCTCTTTTAAAGCTAATGATATAGAAAAGGCAGTTCAGTCTCTGGACAAGAATGGTGTGGACCTACTTATGAAGTATATTTATAAAGGCTTTGAGAGCCCCTCTGACAATAGCAGTGCTGTGTTACTGCAGTGGCATGAAAAGGTAAGTTCTAAATCTTCATGACTGGTTCCTTGACAGTAGACAATAACACTGACAGTCTCTCAACCAAATAGCCATTTTGACTTCCTAGTGATACATTTTCTTTAAAACAAATATATGAAGATGGATGTTCATATTTATGCTTATTAAACTTAGTCAGCTCTTAAGAGATTCTGATTTGCAGCATTTATATTTATTCAACATTATTAATGCATTTTAGAAGTCAAAGTACTCAGTCTTGAAAATTAGTGGTGGTAGTGTGTTGTAGAGTCGGTTCTGACTCATAGTAACTCCTGCATAGGGTATCTGAGGCTATAAACCTTTATGAGAGCAGAAAGCCTCATTGTTCTCCTGTAGTAGAACAGCTGGTATTTTTGAACTGCCAACCTTGAAGTTAGCATCCTGACTCAGAACCACTACACTACCAGAGCTCCTTAAATATCTATTAAAATATTGACTAGTTGAAGGGTGTATTTATATTTTTTTCTGCTGGTATTGAAATATCTCAAGTAAACACATAAAATTATTTAAACATTTTGAATTGTTATGTTTTATTTTGCATGGTCTATTCTATTTTTGTTGCTATTGCATGTATTTTCTTTATAAAAATTAAGTTTACAATATTAGTATGCCTACTCTTCACTTAGGTACCTGGTGTGGTACTATAGGATCAGTGCTGAACTTCGAACCACATCGTCGGCAGTTCAGACCCTCTTAGCTACCTACTTCTTGGAAACCCTGTACAGAGTCACTATAAGTTGGAACAGACTTGACAGCACTTAACAACATATTTATTCAAGAATGATTATTATTCATTAAATATAATCTTGAGCTTTTAACTAAAAACTCTGCAAAAGAAATCAAGAATTCCTAAATGTCCTCCTAAGCCCCTTCTTTTATATCCTTTAGATCTTTACTCAATTATCATCTCAGTCTTACCATTCTAAAATTGCAGTCCCTCCCCATGCCCCCGAACACGTGTCTAAACGTGTATTTTTGTTTTCCTTCTTAGTGTTTTACAATATATATAGAAATAAAAATAAGTAGATGAAAGGAGTGTTTAGATAAAAAGTTGGTAAATAATCTTAAAATACCCAACTTTTATAGTATACTGTTCTAAATCAAACAGTGTAGTATGTAAATAGAACTAACCACCGCCACCCACTGCCAACAAGTCAGTTCTGACTCGGAGTTATGGGGTATATTCTCTAGTATCTGGCAATTCCCAAAACTTCAGAAGCTATTGAATATGTTCGTAAGTGTATCTTAGTGAAAATATGCACATGTATACATATGAGGTAAGAAAAGGTAGAAAAACATGCTGTTTAACCTTGGTCAGGTCATTGTCTCCCACTATCAAAGTAAACACTTAAGCACAGGGTAGTCATACCTCCCACTCTCGCAAGACCAACCCAGCTGGTTGCTCCAACATCATTTTGAATAGTTTTCCCTTACATTCTGTTCAATCCTAGTTTGCACAATAATTTATATGGTCATTCTATATATGGAGTTTTTATTTCACTGAATCCTCACAATTACCTTACAATGTACATAAACATGGTTATTTTATTTCTCATCCTCAATTTATGTACAGATGAACAACCAGCAACCAAGCAGCCTAGTTATAGCTAATGTTTATTGAGCATTTATATATAGTCCAGGCAATTTCCCCAAGTACTAGCTCATTTAAT